TTTAGGATAGAGATTTGATTTCTTGGAGGTTCTGGGATTACGATTAATTTTTTGGTATATCCCCATTGTAAGGATATCTGCGATTTTAAGGATTTTTTAAGTTTTTGTCAGGTTTTGTATTTAGTTTCGCAAAATTCTGTCATTTTGAATTCTTATTAAGTAGAAACGCAATTTAAAAACCAGTAAAAAAATTCGCAGATACATTTCCAAATTATTTTTACTCCCTACTTCTTGCTGCAATTGATTGTGGTCAATAATTTAATCAAATAAAATAAAAAACAGACAAATTTTCCCTTTGAAAAAAATCCAATTTTTTATATTGTTGCATTTTAGGATAGAGATTTGATTCCGTGGAGGTTCTGGGATTGCATCCATATCGATTAATTTTTTGGTATAGCCCCAATGTAAGGATAACTACGATTTGAAGAATTTTTAAGTTTTTGCCAGGTTTTCTATTTAGTTTCGCAAAATTTTGTCATTTTGAATTCTTATTAAGTAGAAATCCAATTTAAAAAAAGAATTAAAAATTTGCAGATATAATTCCAAATTATTTTTACACCTTACTTCTTCCTGCAATTGATTGTGGTCAATAGATCAGTCAAATAATATAAAATAAAACACAAAAATGTTCCGTTTGAAAAAAATCGTATTTATTTAATTTGTTGCATTTCTTATTTAACTAAATATTTTATTTGAGTATTTACAGTTATTCTTATACATTTATTTTAAATATATTCATTATATTAAAGACACTTAAATAAATGGCACATATTAGAAGATATATTCACATACACGGGCGAAAACGGAACAAAATCCAGCAGACAGTATATTAATGTCTGGTGATTTGACCGATTGATTTCAGTTATTTATAATAGAGGTTAGACATAGATGCATACAAAAAAACACACTTAGACTAGCCGGACAATGTTAAATAATCAACAAAATAAGTCGTTTCTTTTTTTTCAGTAAATAAATCTATTAACAAACATGAATACATACATACCCGTATATCATCGAGTATGTGTGCATAACAAGTTTAAAATTATGGCAATAAATAAATAAATATTGATTGATAATAATGTAATAAATATATAATAAATAACAAATAACAATAATAGTAATAATGTAATAGTTGTCGTTGTGGTGCTTGTGTTTTTTCAATGGATTAGAATTGAATTTTGAAAAAAAAAAATTGAAACTTAGATTACATTGAATGTAGCAAAAAAATATATATACACATGAATACGATATGAAATTGAAGTTGACATGAAGGATGCATTAGAATTGAAAATAAATAAAATAATGTTAGAGAAATATAGGTGTGTATTTTGACTAGACAAACGTTAGACAGACACTGGACACATTTGTTGTTGTTTGCTATGCGATCATAAGAATAGTTGGAAATAAATAAATCTTAAGTCTAGTAGCATTCTTATGGTGACTAATGTATGACTAAAGTTGTCGTTAATTAGGTGTGAATTTGATAATTGAATTAAGATAATTAAATTGAGGAAATAAGATTTTTTGATATTGAAATAAATATAATATTTACACAATTAAGAAGAAAAAAATTAATATATTTTAGAAAAATGAAAAATGAATATTAAATGTTCTCCTGGAAATTTATTCGCCAACTTGGATTGCTCAAAACTCCCCCATAGTTGTGAAAAATTAACAGGCGTTTTCAATCAAAATATTAGATTGCTTAAAAATTTCTCGATGGAAAAAACTCTCAAAAATATTTTTTACTAATTTTTATAAATACAACAAAATTGAAACCATTTTACCTTTATTTTTGAATTTTACAGAATATTTTAAAATTCTTGAATACATTTTTGGAATCTAATTAGCATCTGAAAACTATTGCATTCCAAATTTACAAAAATTCAAAAAAAAACTGAAAACAAAATCGGAATCAGGTCCTCCCAAAATAGCATAAAAAATCTTTTATTTAAAAAATATGCCATATAATAGAATTGAAATGTTGATTCTAAATATAATTGAATTTTGAAAATTAAATTGATATACAAGGCTTTCTAGCAGATTATTGTGGTTTAGCTGCAATTTTCACAGCCATAAACTTCCCAGTTGTAGTGCTTGTGAAAATACTTTAAAAACTTTAGTGACTATGGTTTGCAGTTACGCTATATCCAAAATCTAGTTTCGAAATTAAACAACATTTTAGCTTTCCTTAATTAGAATGATTTTTTCGGAGCTTAGCCTATTCCCCGGTTTCCCTAAGCAGAATGATTTTTGAAGCTTATCCAAATCTTTGGTTTCCCTATTTTAAGCTTTGCTGTACTTTGGTTTCCCTAACTTGAATTGTCCTAGTATTTAAAGTTTGAAGATAAACTAAATTTTTTGCTAAGAAGTTGAACTATAACTTTGGTTTCCCTAACTAGAATTAAATGACTTTCGGAGCTGGACTTAATCTTTGGTTTCCCTAACTAGAATGAAATGATTATCGACGCTTAACTAAATTTTTGGTTTTCCTAACTTGCTGTGCTTTGGTTGCCCTAACTAGAAAAGTATTTGAAGCTTTGCCAATCTTTGGTTTCCCTAACTTGAAAGTGTCCTGATATATTTTTTTGGTTTGAAGCTAAATTAAATCTTTGGTTTCCCAGACTAAAATTAAATGATTTTCGAAGCCAAGCTATATCTTTGGTTTCCCTCACTTGGATGATTTGTGAACCTACACAAAATTTAGATTTCCCTAACTTGAAGTTATGCTGGTATTTTGACTTTGAAGCTAAGCTAAATCTTTGGTTTCCCTAACTAGAATGATTTATGAAATTAATTTAAAATTTGGTTTCCCTATCTTGAAATTGTCCCGTTATTGTGGGTAGAACTTAACTATATCTTTGGTTTCCTAGCTAGAACGAAAAAATTTTGTGAGCTAAGCCAAATCTTTGGTTTCCCTAACTAGAATGATTTTTGAAACTAAACTAAATCTTTGGTATTTCTAATTTGAAGTTTTCGCGTTATTTTGGCTCTGAAGCCAAACTAAATCTTTGGTTTCCCTAACTAGAATCAAATAAATGTCGAAGCTAAGCCAAATCTTTGGTCTCCCTAACTAGATTGAAATTTGAAAATAAATTTTATTTTTGGCTTTCCCAACATAAAGTTGTCCTGGTATTTTGGTTTTGAAGCCGAACTTCATTTTTGGTTTCCCTAACTAGAATAAAATAACTGTGGAAGCTATGACAAATCTTTGGTTTCCCCAACTGGACTAATGTTTTAAGCCATGCAGAACTTTGGTTTCCCTAACTTGAAGTTGTGCTGGTATTTTGGGTCTGAAGCTAAACTAAATCTTTGGTTTCCCTAACTAGCTAAGCTAAATCTTTGGGTTCCCTAACTAGAATAATTTCTGAAACTACTCTTAGCTTTAGTTTTTCTAACTGAAATAATATTTGAAGCTATGCTGAACTTTGGTCTACCTATCTTGAAATTTCCCGATATTTTTGGGGTTTGAAGCTAAGCTAAGTCTTTGGATTCCCTAACTGGAATAATTGAAAATATACTGATTTATCGAGTTTTAAACTAAACTTAATCTTTGGTTTCCCTAACTAGAATAAGATTTCTTAAGAAGTTAAGCTAAATCTTTGGTTTCCCTAACTATGATGAATTTTGAAAATCTCCTAAACTTTGGTTTGCCTAAGTTGTCCTGGATTTGTGGGTTTGTGGCTAAACTAAATCTTTAAATTCTTTAAAAAAACGTGACGATATTTTAACACATTTCCAATTCTGAGATTCTTAATGATTGGGTTTGGGGCACTGCTAAAATTTTGGTTTCCCTAACCTTAACGATATTTGAAGCTACGATAATCTTTGATTTAAGAAATTGAAGATATTTGATCTAGGTTTCCCTTACAAGAATGAATTTTGAAGTTATGATAAATCTTAATATTTGAAACTATCCTGAAATTTAGTCTCCCTAAGTAGAAATCGTGATGATATATCATCATTGGGTTTGGTACTAGCCTATAATTTCGATTTCCCTCTTTGGTTTTCCTAACTAGAAAAAGGGAATCTATTGGTAGTGTAGCCTAAATTTGACTTTGGTAAACCTAAACCATAATATATTTTGGTTGGTTTGAAGCTTAGCTAAAACTAGTTTTTTTTCAAAATTTGTTTGAGAAAGTGATTTTAAAGTTAAACAAAGATTTTGAATTTAAAATAATGACTGAAATGGAATTGGACAAGACAACTAAGTGAATTTAAAAAATAATTGAAATATAACCAACAGTTGGTAATAGAATTCTAACGATGGCTTGCAAGTAATCTGCGCTTGGAAATTTTAATCTAAGGGAGAAGGATTCGAAAGCAGACACGATTTCATAGCTAAAAGATTATAATTTCAAAATTTACAAAATTTGGTTTTATAAAATTAAGATATCAGAATTAGCCTTGTCTGGTTCTCGGATGATCCATTTCAAATGAGGAAACAAAGTATCAACGCATTCAACTACCCGGTAACCGAATATATTTTATATTGACGACAGGAATTAAATTTTCCGATGAATTTAATTAGCGTTTGGCGGAACTACTGAACAGAGAATTTAAACTTAAATTTTTTTCTTTGAATACTGAAAATACTGAATTTAATTTGTATTTGTTTGAGATTTTTCGAAGAGATTTGGTAAGAGAGCAAAGTTGGCGAAAAAAAATTCCCAAAAGACTTTTTTTACAAATATAAATTAATGAAATAAAATGAATAAATTAATTTTTTACAAAAGTGAATTATTTAAATATCTGTTAAAAATAATAAAAATTATAATAATTTTCTTGCTCTCCTTATTATTTGCCGTTCGAAACAAATAAGTGGAAAATTTAACTAAGAATAATTAATTTTTATACAAGAAAATAATATTCAACATTAAACTTCTTTTTTTTTTGCAAATTTTCTTTAAAAAAGAAGTCCACGTTTTATCCCTGAGATATCAAACTATGTATATATCAAACCAATTTCTGGCATTATTTACAACTTATACTAAAAAAATTGAAAAAAAAAAAAAAAAAAACAACAACAAAATCATACCTAATAATCACTCATTTGGTGTATGAGCCGATGAACATTTTCCTGCATTTTATAATCATCTTCGGTCTCATTTTCACTGCTATCCACACTGCCAGCATAGTAAATACGTTGCTGCTGCTGGTGTTGCTGCTCTCCGGACTGTGACTGCAGGAGGTTGTTGGAAGGATTCATATTCTCATCATAGACCGGTGATTGGTTGCCATGTTGCATGAAATTTTGTTGCAATCCTTGTAGATGTTGTTGCAATTGTTGTTGATTAAAACCCCCCGCAATAATTGTCTCGGCAGTTGGTGTGGGCGACAGTGAGGCTGAGGATTCATTACCACTGTGTGGTGGCGATGAAGATTGACAGCCATTTTGTAGATGTTTACCCAGCAGGGACATGCGCGAGAAGGACTTCGTGCATGTGGGGCAGGAATATTTCTTAACATCCGAATGAGTTTGCATGTGGGCTCGAAGATTAGAACGATCGGCAAAGGCACGATTGCAGTGTTGACAGCTGAAGGGTTTCTCGCCGGTGTGGGTACGTATGTGACCCTGCAATAGCCAGGGACGGGAAAAGGCCTTGCCACATATAGGACATTTACAGGGTAGGGTGTGGGTGCGTATATGCATTTTTAGGGCACCCAGACTCACATAGGTCTTATCACAGTTCTTGCAATTGAAAACCTTTTTCACTTGATTCCCTTCGGCGGCGGGGCAATGGAATTGTTGATGTTTCGTCAGGCCCGAAAAGGTGGAATAGGACTTGCCACAATCATTGCAGTGATAGCGTGGTACACCCACAGGTTTTTGCATGGACTGTGACGAAGCCAAGGCAGAGGCTTGTATCAAGGCAGCCGCCTGATCTGTGGTAAACTCTGTAGAATCGTGGGTTATGGCTCCACCCTCTGGGTTGCTGCGTATGATTTTGTATTCGGTGCTCTCAAAGGCATGACTTTGTTGATGTTTCACCAATCCCGCATAGGTGGCATAACATTTGTTACACTGCTGGCACTGATAATACAAATCATTGGAGGTTTTCAATTTCAGGTTGATGTTACCATTGGCCAGGGGTTTCAAGACCTCACCGCTGATGTTGTTGTTGTTCGTGTTTGTATTTTGGGCAACTGGACTCGGATCAGGTTTGAAATTCTGTAAGCCCAACAATGCTCTGGCCACATTGTGTAAATTCACATTTTCTCCCAATACCTTTTTGCCAGCTGGTGCTATTTGTGGCCTATACGACAAATCTTCAGGTTCATAGGTACTGCCGTAGGGTTCACTGTCTTGCAGGGGTTTTGGTGATGTTTCACGCGAGAAATTCTGTGGCCTTAAACAATCCTCATACTCGGCAATGCTTTTCATTAAATTATTATTAAAATTGCGAATACCATTCAGGGGATTGGGAACGAGCTCATTAACAATGGCATAGGAACTATCCTGAGGTTCTTGTTTTACAGAGGCACCATAAAAAGTCTCTGCCCTTGGCAATGGTGGCGGTGAGGGGGTTCTAATTCTCTCCTGGGTCTCTGTGGTTTGGGGGAAGGGGAATTCGCCGTAGCCTAAACGAGCCAAGCTACGGGCAATTTCTTCTTTGGTAAAGACATCGGGGAAAGCCCGAGCAATTTCTCGTGTCTCATCCCAAATGCGTCGGGCCAAATCTTCTTTGCTCTGGGCATTGAGTTTGGCTTGTAAATCCAAAGGTGAAACCGGCATCACATCATCCTGTTCATATTTGGGATTGATTGTGGCGGGAATCGTACTGGAGGCTTTGCTCAGATCCACTGGACCTTCATCTGCAAGTGGAGAAGGGAGAAGGGAAATATTACAATCCGGGTTTCCAAATGTTGAGGAATTTTTGTAAAGGTGTTCCTCTCAATTCTGATTGCGAAAACTTACCATGATCAAGGCCAATGTCTGTGGTATCCATATATTCCTTTTTCAGCATCATGATGGGTCGCTTTTTCAAAGGACATTTGCTGTAGTTGAATTTATCCATAATGGCAAATGTTTTATCGAAAAAAGCTTTGGGGTAATCCAAGTAAGGCAAATTTAGTTAAACACTTAAATCTCTCTCTCTCTCTCACTAATTCACTATCTTGCTCTTCATAGAGTTTATTTCACAATTTTTGTTAAATATTTATGTTTTTGTTTCTGTTCTTTAAATTTTTATAAATCTTACTTTCTGTGTTCTTCTTCGTTTGATGTTTGTTGCACGAATGATGTAATTGCTCACGATCACTTTGATATTTATACTCAAAACGGAGTCCTCAACAAGATTTAAGGATCAGCCAGAAAAAAACAAACCCTAATTGAAAACTGTTATAAGGATTTTTCAACCCTCAACCTCCCCTTTTTACCGGCTGGGGTAAAATGTGTGACAAACAACCACAACACACACATACACTCGCACAAAGCCAGGTTTGTACTTCCGATTTTATTTGGTGCCTGCCACATAACCTCCACATTGTCGATCTTCAATTTCAACCACCTTAATTGTTCCAACAGATTTGCACACACACACTCGCTCGCTAAATATGATCACAGTGGCATTTATGCTGCGCAGGCGCGCACACACCAAACCCAACGAAAAGCACCAGATGTTGTTCTTGGTGGTGGCAAGAAGGCAAGCTGCGTCGGCTGATGCTGCAAAATTCAACGGTTGAGCTGGTAGCACGTGCCTTTACAGACAGAGGGAGAGAGAGACACATTTGGACAAGCATGTGTGCAATGATCAGCATCACCATCCCAATGATCATCAACTCCAACAACAAGCTCATAATCATACACCCAGTTAATGATCATTCTCTCGCTCTCCAAGATATGCAACAGAGATTTTCAAGATTTCTTCTACCATTTCAAACTCTTAAGACAACTTCCCCTACTTCCAACGCTCATTTCTTAACACCTGGACGCCGTTTTTATTTTCAATCGTCAATCAATTGATCGTTTCCTATTGTACCTACTCTTCTCCATTGTCGTCTCGTATATATGGGTGGAGTTGTGTCTCTTTTGTTCATTGCTTTGAGATTTCGTTTTCTCAAAACATTTGACTCTCTTCACAGCTATTTTTATACAGCGGAGCAGCTGAAAACTAAAATTTGTGTCTCGTGCTAAAATTCTCTGTCGGTTGTTGGTGGGTGATCTTAAAAATATGCATCCAGCTCTTTGCATGCAGGTATCCAAAAGAGAACGTGCCATAGCTGAGCAAAACATCTGTTAACTCTTGAAATGTGAAAGAGTATATGTTGTTGGATTTTTGTGGCAGATAAAGCTCTTCGGTGGTTTACAAAACTCTTAAGTTTTCTGTTTCAATTTCATATTGTGGCACAATTTGAAAATAAAGAGTGTTTCACTAAAAGAGCAACTTAAAGTTTTAATGACGCTCTTAATGTAAATAATGATCAGGAATTGTTTCATATACGTTTTGTACACTCTTTAAAGTTTTAAGTCGCTCTGAATTTAAATTAAGATCAAGCAATGGTTTCATAAAAAATATTCAAAAAAAAAAAAAACTCCTTCGAAATTTATTTTTTGACAAACATACTAATTTAATGCAGGAAAATAAATAAGTTTCCAAATGTAGTCAATGCAATTTTGAAAAAAATCCAAATTTTCATCTATGTTGAATTAAGATCAGGCAACGGTTTCACGTAAATATCTTAAAAAGCTCTGCGCAGAAAATAAAATAAGTACCCAAATTAAATGAAGTACAACTTTACATTTCTTTTAAATTTCAGCCATGTTTCGGCTTTTTTGAAATTACTCTAAATATCAAATTATTACCACATCGAATGGCAACACGGCCATAACTGAGATTCCTAGAAGTAGCCCTGACTTAGATTGATTTTATTCAATTGTTGTTACAAACGTATCGATCTTCATTACTCATGGTCTGCATCGGATAAAACCCAACACTAGGATTTTGAAAATACATACTTTATAGAAGACGTTACCGAAGAAAATCCTTTCTAAAACAAGTAAAAAAGCAGTAAGTTCGGCCGGGCCGAACTTTGAATACCCTCCACCATTTGGAACGAATTAAAAAATTTTCAAAAAAAATAAAATCCATTGATTTTTTTAAATCTTTACAATATCTAATATAGAAAGGTGCCGATATATGGGGGTATATATGATATTGTGGACCTATTAAGACAAATCTATATCTGGGTGTAAAGTACACACAAGGAACTCTGTGTGCGGATTTTCAGACAATTCCGTTGAAAAATGTGGGTAAAATCATAAAAAAAAACAGAATATCGGGGGGTACCGCTATATGGGGGATATACGATATTGCGGACCTATATAGACAATTCCCTTTCAGGGTGTAAAATTCTCACAAAGAACTCCTTGTGTGGATTTTCAGACAATACGATTTGAAAATGTGGCTAAAATCATCAAAATACCGAATATCGTGGGTACCGTTATATGGGTGCTATATGATATCATTAACCTATATAAAGAATTCTCTGTCGGGGGGTAAAGTGCTCACAAAAAACCCCTTGTGTACAATACCCCTTGCAAAATGTGGCTATAATCTTCAAAATACCGAATATCGGAGGGTACGGTTATATGGGGGCCATACGATATCGTGGACCGATATAGCCCATCTTCGAACTTGACCAGACAAAAGAGAGATCTGTGCAAAATTTTAGCTTCCTATCTTAATTCGTTTAGACTGTAGCATAATTCCAACAGACGGACAGACGAACGGAATGACGAAGTTAATATACCCTCCATGCTATGTATGGTGGAGGGTATAAAAATTAAATGAGTTATATCAGAGGCAACGTTGAAAATATTAGCTTAACTCTTGTACCTCTCTCACAAAAGTTCAAAAGTTTTTCGCATACGGATGTGTTGGTCCACTTCTTCTGGTGCATCTTCCACAAGGAACAAACATTTGTTAGAATCATGAGTTTTCTTGCAGAGACGCACGCTGAAATGTATTTTGAAGCCATTTCTGGAGAGAGGCCCAACCAAATGTAGAATGATTTGCATACAAATTACAACATCAGACTGGGATCTATATCTTTATCTCATTCGATGTCAACTTAACTAGGCTGGACTATTGTTTTCTACTGTATGCGAAATCTCGTTACACATTACACTACTATAGAGTGCATACGACTTTAAGAGGGCATCTATATATGATCAAAATATATATGAAAAAACTGCAACCAAATTCGGACTGCTGTCATTTCTAAGTCACTCGTCTGACAGATGTTCAAATTATTCCAGTGACAGCTCATTATATTGTTTACAAGCATACAAAAGCATTTTGGTGAGAATTTTACAGAAAAAAAGTTATTCGTGATGGAACTCAAGCGTGATAGTATGACTTCTTTTTATTTGGCTGGAAAACCATTAGTGGCTATCGTTAGAACACTCCAGCATTTAAATGTGAATAAATCTTTTGTGTCTCGTACCATTGCTCGTTACCGAGCGTAGTCCGACGTCAAGGAAGTGGACGGAAGAAAACAGCAACATCAGCAGAAATGGTTGGAAAAGTAAAGAAGCGACTTAATCGAAAATGGCTCGTGAGCTGATCATATCGCAATATTCCATTTGGCAAATATTGAAAAATAAACTCGGGGTGAAGCTATTGAAATTCCAAAAAGTGCAAGAACTTACATTGCAACAGAATGAAAATAGACTCAAAGAGCTAAAGAGCTGCTTCGCTTGGCCGAAAGTGGTGAACTGGCGAATTTGGTTTTCTCCGATGAAAAAACATTCGTTGTCCAGCAGTTTGAAAACCAACAAAATGATCGTGTTTACTTGCCAAAGAGGTCACCTGAAAATGTGCACTTTCGGTTGGCCACCAGAACTCAAGCGCCAGCCATGGTGATGGTGTGGGCTGCCATGACAGCCGATGGTCGCTCTTCGCTCGTATTAATCGACCGAGACATCAGAATAAATGCCGAATATTATCACGAAAGTATTCTGGAGGCAAACATTTGGCCGCAGACCTTGGACATTCCAACAGGACTCAGCACCATCGCACTCAGCACACGCCACCGAAGAATTGTTAAATTATGAGGTTCCTCGTTTCATTTCCAGCGCACAATGGCCACCAAAATCTCCGGATAACTATCCGTTGGACTAATGTGTCTGGAGTATTTTGGAAAGCAAGGTTGGTACTTAAAAAATATCAAAGTGTCGATCACCTCTGGGGAATGGGCCAAAATGCCGCAGAGCAACATTCGGGCAGCGTGTGAGGGTTTCATTGGCCGTTTGAAGGACATAATTCGTGCCAAAGGTGACCAATTCGAACAAATCTAAACTTATTCTAAAAGTTGATTCTGTTTCCGATATTTTTTTCGTCCAATCAATAAAATAAAAACAATTAAAAATAAATATTATGGCGTTTGACTTTGTTGCAGTTTTTTTATTTCACCCTGTATATGGATCAACGTTTTCGTATGGTGCCAACATAATTGTACATTTTGATATTCCGACTTATAATTTTGTTAGAATTCAATTCATTTAGATGAGCATACAATTTTGATCGGTGAAATGCATGAAGGAAATGCATTTAAATCTAACATTCTTCTTAATTGCTCGATTTGCAGCAAATTCCTAAACGCTTATTTTATTTAATGATTTGGGCAAAAAAAATGTGCAAGTAATCGACTTTTACAAAACCACAGCATGCTATCGTTTTTATAGTTACTTCATAAATTAATATCCCAGCTGAAATGAGCAATAAGAAACTCCATGCTTTGGCATTTCTTAACCAAAAAAAAAAAAAAACTCTTATTGCATTAGGATTCATAAAAAATCACACCTTTTACTTTTTGCAGGACATTTCCTGAGCATTTTTTGGCGCCAAAAAATCCCTGAAAAGAAAGCCGGGAGAACAATAAACAAACATCAAATAATTTTGTAACGACTTTTTCCTCTCTACAAACGCCATGGTACGTGCTAAGAATTGGCAGATGTAGCAAAAGAAATTGAAAAGATTTCCTTAAGACACAACAATTCCGGCCTAACAAGATTCTAAGACAAGACAAGGGTTGCTGCTCGGAAACAACAACAATTTTGATATAAATTCTTAACGGCCACTATCAATGCTGGCTGCAACACCACCACAATAGCCGTCCGCCACTGCTGTTTTCTACCTCACTCCAGCATATCAAAATGTGAAGGGGGGTTGATCAAAGCAGAGGAATGAAGATAACAGATTAGAGGTGCATTATTGTTTT